TGGTCCTCTCTCCCCCACAACCCCCTTAGTGGTCCTTCATCTCCCACAACCCCTTAGTGGTCCTCTCCTCCCCTCCCCCCTCCTTAGTGGTCCCTAGTGTTAGGGTTAGGAGTAGGGTTAGGTTAGGGGTAGGGTTAGGGCAAGGTTATGTTAGGGGTAGGGTTAGGTGCCTGGACTGCCACCACAACACATCTACAGGGCTCCCAGTGCCAGGAATTAGCTTATCATTCACATAATTTTCCCTCCCTCTCTTGTTTTGCCACTTTTCAGAAGTCCGAAGCACTTCGGCACTTTGGGAATTCGGCAATTCGGAAGCATCCGAATGACGGAATTGCTGAAATTCATCCGAATTTACATTCGGAACAAAACAAATTGAACATGTCTGGTTACAGACAAACAGTCACACACACACGGTTACAGGCAGACAGTAACACACACAGTTACAAACAAACATACACAGTTACAGACAGTCTCTCACACATATACACGAACACACACACAACAATGTAAGCTAGCTGAATAAAGATTAGATGGGAGCAAAGAGGTAGATGAGAGATTGAATGAAAACAGCATGGAACAATAGTAAGTGCCAAAAACATGTTTCTGGTTTGTGCTTGTCATGGATTGCATTGTGTACACAAACTTTACCTAACAATCTCACATTCTGATCTACAAAGCAGATAGTCATTAGAAATACTTTCTATGTGTTAGACAATCTAATTAAAACCTGTCTTTGTCTTCTGTCAAACCTAGTGACAATCTATTATTATAGTGTAAAATATAATTTTGAGCAGCAAAAGGTTAAACCCTTGGGAGGATGGGTGTTGTTTTCGTCCTATTTATATTTTAACTGACACTTCAAACTGGAAATAAACACTTATGATTCTGTTTTGCAGTATTGTTTAAGAAAAGCAATATACCATGTACAAAAAGATAAGCAGAAGCCAAAAAGTTGCTGCCTACTCATCAGCGAACAAGTAGCACACGTATCACAGACAAATGATCAAATAACCTTCACTATCGTGTTGTGCATATAGGGGTATTTATACAGCTTTATCACAAACCGATTTGACAGTTCTTTTTAGTGTAAATAAAAATAATTTTCACCACATTGCGTCAGTTAAATTAAAGATAAACCGTCACTTCTCTGGAGTTTACATCATTTTATAAAACCACCAGCTATAACTTGTGTTAACTCATTTTCAATAAAATGTCCAATTTATTTTTGCCTTATGTTAAATATTGAGAAAATTGTGTCAAGATTCAGGTAAGACTAGGCACCGCAAGTGCACACATCGCAAATGAGATGGAGAAATAAAAACATTGTTGTTAGTTTTGTTTTGTCTTCACTGTATGCGGTCTCTGTGCTGGCTGCCAGATGCAAAGGATAGATTTTATTTTTTGGGCAAAGAGCTTAGATTGATGTATCCTGATTCAGGATAAAGAGGCAGTTCCCCTTTAACAGAAAATGTATACAAAGACAGAACAGGATATTTTGGAAAAAAGATAGTTTACTAACACAGATGAAAAGTCAAAATACTATTTGGAACATGGTTCAATAACCCTCAGTACAGAGAAAGCTAACACTGTACACAATCTATAACACATGGGGATTGAGGTTGTTAGATTAGATAGCAATCGATGTCTGTTAATTATTAAACATCAATGTATGGTACCTTATTCAAAGCGAAGACAAACACCTCACTGCAGGACAATTCTCAAACTCAGACATTGTTTTGAACACAGCATCACAAGACATCATATGCATCTTTATTCAATAATGAAAATCAATAAAAAAAATTTTTTTTACTGTTTCACATTTTATTTCATTTACACAGAGAGAAAACCTGGATTGTTGGTGGTCCACAAGGACTGTGTTGGGAACCACCGCTCTAAACTGTCCCTCCCCGTCTGGTGTGATAAACTGACAGACAGACAGCATACCCTGTTCCTACATTTGATCATCCATATCCTTGAACATGTGTAAGCATGGGTGGGCGACTTTCAAAACCCCATCATGTAAAATGTAATATTTTGTTGCTTACCAAATTCACTGTAGTCAACCAAAAACTACATTACATTTGGTCAACTTCTGCCCAACTAAAAAAGGCATGCATTAAAATACAATCATAGAACAGGTGGAATGCAAAAGAAATATATCTTAAAGAATTTTAAAACAGGTTTAAAGCAATGGATTTCTTAGTGAATGGCTAATTAACCTAACTGAACTGTTGCCTTATTAGTTAAAATTTTACTCACAAAACTTACAAATGCGGGGGCAATTTGGTGTTTGAAAAATGTATAAATTAATATATTTCAGGTGAGATTTAAATTTTGGAATTGCAATTAAAATCAAATGTGGATGCACCTTTACTGCTTAAACAGCTTTTACCTTAAATGAGACAGTAGCCTCGCTCTGCAATGCAATCTGACTAAGTTTATAACACATTACTTTTCAAAAAAATTCTTGCTTTATTATGGCTTGTTTATTTATTTAAACGTGTTTGCTTGCTGACTTAGCCTCCCCTCCAGTATTTTCAAGTGATGGTTGTCCCTTTAATGCTAACCCAGCCAGCTTGGAGTGGAAAGGTTGCCATTACCTATATAGAACCAGTTTTGATGGTATCTGTATGCAGTAACCATCTTTTCTTTGTCAACTATACGGATTCAATATATTTAAAGTGTATCTGCCACTCATTGGATCACTGCAGGTTTTTCAGCGGTCACTTCAGCTGACATCTTCTGTGCATGGTGGCACCTGAGAATAAAAGGGGAAATATATTTTCCTGAGGCTCTCCCTCCACAATGCCACTATTTTCAGTCTCATGCCCAAAAATATAAACCGGGGACCCTATTTTGTTACATCTTTTGATAGTGGAAATTCCAAGTCATTTTATGAGGTGGGCAGTGAAACTACAACAAAAAGGAAACAAAATCTGAAACTTAACAGAGTAATCCAAGCATAATAACCACTACAGTCCTCTGTAGTGGTTATGGTATCAGGACTGCCCTGGCGCAATCCAAGTATAATTTGTAAAACCATTTTAGAACAATTTACTTGGATCCACCGGATGCCCATGCCGCATCTGGTCTTCTCCTGAAGGAAAATAAAAATAAAGGACCAAGCTCATTTACCCTAGATGGTCCTGCTTAGCTTAGCTGAGCTAAACAGATTATCCTACTGGAGAATCCCAAAAGAAGGGCATATGGCTATGGTTGATCGGTGGGACTCAGGTAAGCTGTCAAACCATACTACAACAGTTTGACAAATAACACTGGGACAGCATCAGGGCACTCCTGGTACCATAGTATACCATAGCAACAGGCAGTAGTGGTTATGGTGCTTGTTCAACAGTTTTAAAAACATCTATCAGAAGTGGTAAGGTGGAGTTAGAAAGCTGAGCTCATGCTGCTGAAACAGTCATCATTTGTAAAGTCATTACCATAAAGTTGTTTATAAGCCTTGTATCTCCAATTTAATTCTCATAAATCAAGCGAGACTTGATTCAAAAATACTAATGTAAGGCAGGCTTGGTTATTAGTATTATAGACAAATGTTTCTGAACAGGCAAATTAATTATTTTATTCACTTCAGACAGGAGAATGTTGCTAACTAGGGTCACATTGCGTCATTGATGCTTTGACTTGGGCAGGCTGATTTATTAAGCAGATTAAAAAATAAAGGGATGGATCGTCACTTTACATCACCAGTCATTTGTTCATTCCAGTGTTGTTTTTTTAATGTGTCATATTGCATACCAAATGGATAGTAAACAGCTGTGGGTGTTTTTTAAGATACATTTTGCTTACTGTTAATAAATGCCTATATGTTTTGCAGTGATACAATGGGTAAACACATTTATTAATAATACTGATCAGATGTTGAGCCCCCAGTAGAGCCTAACTGGAGAGGAGTCCTCCCAGAATCCAGTCATAGGCCAGTCGAGGAAACTGGAGGACCTCTATTGACAGGCTTTGTATAGTTTTCATGAACTATATGCATGATAGGGGTAGGCATAGCTTAAAGTGGCATTGTCACCGTCTGGGGGCTTTGCAGAATTAGCTGAGACCCCTGTCAATGACATTGCTGTTGGGGATCCGGGGGCAGGTAAAGGTGAGATTTACTTAATTGAACCTGTCCCTCGCAAGCGCGGCCATCTTTTTCCAACAGATCCTCTTCAGCTCTAGGAACTTACATCACTCCTGTGCGCATGCGGGAGAGTACAGCATTAAAGTCTATGGAGGATCCAATTCTCTGCAGCCGTCAAAGTAGTTCCTTATTTTGTCTCAGTATATCTCTTGACAGGGTTGAAATTTCAGGGAAATACAGTCATTGGGAGTATTTCAAAAAGATTCTATCTTTATGAAATACAAATTTTTCAGGGTTTGGACAGTGCCGCTTTGAGAATGCAGTTTCCGTGAGCCCATTACCAAGTTTCCCGAACCTGTCTTCAGGGCTGAGGTTTGTAAGAAGCAGAGTTATAGGGTTAGATAGTGCAGATTGGTGGTTACACTTTTGAGCTGCAGCAGCCACCATTTTAGTTCACTTCTCTAATTAAATAGCTGTTGGAACTCCTACTAATCATTGGTAGCACCATGGCCTTTAAATCCCAGTACAGCCCTCACATTAAACACGTTCACTGAAACCCTACACTTATCTAACACTATACTTAATCCATTCACTAACACCAACAGTAGACCTAACTTTATTTTTTTTCTCTATATAAGATATCTAACAGTCATACATGACTACTATAAAACATACCTACCAGTGAAATGTGTTTTAGGGAAAAATAATGCTATCTTGAAGTTCTTTTTTATTTTTAAATTCTTTATTTTTGAAGGGCAAAGTGAACATACAGTGTAATATAGGCATAGACATATTACCAAAAGAAACTAAGTATAACAATTCGTATTCAATTGTGTTGCAGGTAATGCACTATTTAATTTATTTTTTATGTGGTAAAACATGCATAATAAAAAAAATAGATAGCTTGTCCGATGGCATTGTGAGTAAAGAGACATCAGGCTTTTAAAGGCAAGTACATGCCATAGACAGTTTAGAAGCTAATGCACAAGCATAGCACATAAATAGCAAGCTGAGCAGCCTAGTTGTACTTGTGCCCATCTGGGAGGCCCTTCTTTGTTTTAGTAGCAGTCCAGCAACTACCATAATCTCAAGAGTGAATGAGCAGGTATAGCAAAACTATGAAAGACAATCAGGAGAGACATAACAGAAGGTTTCTGTAGCTTGTGAGGTGGTGCAGCTCATCCTGTACCTTCCAAGAGGAATGTACTGCCTCGCTTGAGCCAAGGGCACAGATCCACACCCCGTCTGAGTTGTATCTGGGGACTGGGGTGATGCCTTTTGTGAGGAGAGGGTTAGGACACATGGTGCCCAGAGGTATCCTACCAACTGATCCCTCAGTGAGAGAGATTCAAAGAGTTGTCCGCCAGGACCCAGGCTTGCGGAGTTGCAGGATGCGGTTGAAGGGCAGAGTAAGTGTGCCTGTTGTCTCAGTTGGACTTCCCTAGAGGTTACATCTTCCTGCATCGCGGTGGTCTGACGTGGATTCCGGTTGGGTAATCAGCCTGGCAGCCGGGTATGTTGTTTAGGGTACATACGTTGGTGTAGTTTGGCCCAGAAGTCAGCAAATATGCGATTGATTTTGTAGAGGACTGTGACTGCTTCGTTGCTGGAATCCAGGAAGCACGCGGCGCCCACCATCTTAGCGCAGCGTATGCTATAGTGAGCTCGAGAGTGGACTGGGATCACCCCTTTCAGTCCGGGGGGGGGAGGGGAAGGAGACATGGCAGCAGGGTAATGCAGCGATGGTCCAGTAACTGGCTATCTGAGAGAGCAATAATTTCGGGAGATTTGACGGTTAAGCTCTGGCAGAGTGCATCCTGCCACAATGAAGGTCAGGCCTCGCCCCCCTATTCTTGAGTCATTTATTCTCATTGATTATTCTAATGTCTCCAGAACCTCTCAATGATTCAGTGGTGTGTAGTTTCTATCTTATAGATAGACAGGTGTCATAGGCGTGCGCACGGGGTGTGCCTCCCTCCGTGGGCAGGTGAGGGAGATCAAAGATTTCCCTCACCGACCCATAGGCAGGGAAGGAGGCAGGAGAGGACCCGGGGAGCTCTTGTCAGCAGCGGTTACCGTGGCAACGCTCAGATCTCGCAAGAGTGAATTATAGTCCCCTGTGGGGCTAGAGTTCACTCTCCACTGGACCACCAGGGACGGCAGCAGCACGGTCCACCCTCCCTACATAAGGTAAGAAGGGAAGGGGGATATTAACAAACGGCCCCCACACATTACACACAAACAGCACACACACACATACATTACCCTTACACTAACACCCACACACACACACTAACAGCACCCTCACACTAACAACACCCTTACACACACAGCACCCTCAGACTAACAACACCCTTACACACACATACACTAACAGCACCCTCACACTAACAACACCCTTACACACACACACACTAACAGCACCCTCACACTAACAACACCCTTACACACACACACACACTAACAGCACTTTCGCACTAACACCCTTACACACACCGCACCCTCACACATACACAGCACACACTAACAGCACCCTCACACCCAGCGCCCTTACACACACACAGCACACACTAACATCACCCTTACACACACAGCACCCTTACACATACACACACTAACAGCACCCTTACACACAGCACCCACACACACAGCACCCTCACACACTAACAGCACCCTTACACACACAGCACCCTCACCCACACACACAAGCATACACTAACAGCACCCTTACACATACACGCACACACTAACAGCACCCTTACACACACAGCGCTCTCACGCACACAGCACCTTCACATACACACAGCGCCTGCACAAACACACACACTGCGCCCGCACACACACATCACCCTCACACACACACAGCAGTATGTGTGTGTGTGTGTGTATATATCTATATATATACACGGCGTGTATGTTTCTGCTTTAGGGTGCACACCCTTATACAATAGGCTGCGCACGCCTATGACAGGCGTACAGGCAGACAGACAGACAAAGAATTTCTGTGTTTTACTAATGTACATTACACAGCTATGTTATACTTCACTCATGTGTGCTTATCTGGGCCAGAAATACATAATTAGATTTTCTTTTTAGATTTAAAAAACAAAACAGAATTAATCAGGATTTGCGAAAGGCATTTTAGCATATCTGTATGTGAAATCTCCTGTTATGCCTAGAAAGCTACAAAGAGAAGGAAACAAAAACTGAAACTGGTTTAAAAAATGCTAATTAAAAGAAGAGATACGGTGGTGTTAGAAAGCCCTGCTCAGGCTCCTGAAACAATCTTGTTACATTCTGTGCTCAGCTCCTGCGGTGAGCGGCTATATTTAGAACAGGACTAAAGCCTTTACTGGGAAAGGGATTGCAAAATAACCACGTGGGCTTTAAACATCTTGGCTGCCTGCCTGGGAATACATTGGTGCTCTCTCTGAGGGAGCCGTCAGACCCACCGGGGGTTAATCATTAACCTCTCGTAGTGCCAACTGGACATGCATTATGTATTGTACCTTTGAAGTCACGAGATTGGCTGTGTCAACGACGTAACATTTTGTTCAATGATGCTAGACACATTGCCACTGTCCAATGATAAAATCCCTATATTTATCATTCTGTCTTAGAGTCTAGAATTAGAATAATCAGCTGTTTTATTGCCTTGAACATCAGGAAAACTGAAAGCTTTAGAATATATTATCGTCATCTTAAAAGACTCAAAATAGCTCATCAGCTTTTACATCTTAAAGGAAAACTGCCACTTCACTGGGATTTACACCACTGAAACAACTAACGAAAAGCATAATTTGTGTTAACTTCTTTTTTAAATGAAATTCTCTTATATTTTAACTTTTTTTTTAGCAAATGAGTGATATAACCCAGTTCAAACAAGGCAAAGCCAGTGAAAACATTGCAGGAAGAAGATATAGAAACACTGTTTAATTTCTCTATATTCTTTATCCATTTGTCTGACTGCCAGGTGTGTGGGCAGTGCTTGCCAACAATGATTAAAGGAACACTCTAGGCACCCAGACCACTTCAGCTCATTGAAGTGGCCTGGGTGCATAGTCCTAGGTCTCTTAATCATGCAAAGGCAATTATTGCAGTTTTAAAGAAACTGCAATAATTACCTTTGAGTGTTAATTCCACCTCTAGTGGCTGTCTAGAGGGCCTTCCAGGATGTTAGGCGACTATTGGTCACATAACGGACGCTGGGCGTTCTCACACTATGCACGGGGACATCCAGAACCACCCAATGCTTTCCTATGGGAAATCCTAATACAAATGGGGCCATTGCCGCACATGCGCATTAGGTCTCCCAGCCACATCAGGAGCGAAGATGGACCCAAGCCAGCACCAGTTTTTATTCCCTTCTGCACTGTGGGGGGTTGGGAGCTATAACTATAGTTTCCCTTTAACAATGTTTGACAGAGAGACAAGATGGAGGCACCCAGTTGAAGAATAAATAGGTATGGGTTTTTACATATAGAGTGAATATGTCAGGCCCCCTCTCCCTTGCCTCCTAACCTCATGGTTCAACGCTGCATCTGCCTCCCTCCTCATGGAGATGCCGTGCCAGGTCTCCCCCACCTCGTCACAGCAGACCCACAATCCACCGATGATTGGCCGCAGCATCCCTAGCGCGGCACCACAGATCCGCATGGAACTCTGTTTTCTTAAGGGGGAGGGGCAGAGCATCAGGGATTACCTAGGGAGCACGCACACCGAAACCACGGCTTCTTAAACGTACAGAAGGTGGTCCATACCAAAATGGCAGAGTTAAGGTAAATGGACATTCTTTTTTTCTACCTATTTAAACACCACTCCTCCAAGAACTCATTGCTCAGATATACTCTTCTCCTGTTGTGTTAAGACCTTAGGTGACTACTCAGCTGTATCCTGCTATTGACCTTTGCCTGATTAATCGCTTCTGAACCTGTGCTGCCTGCAGGGCCGTCTTTAAGGAGGGGCAAAAGGGGCAGCTGCCCCAGGCCCAGTTACTCCTGGGGGCCCTAAGGCAGCAGCCCTTTAATACTGCTCTGGACCGGCCCGGGCCCCTGTTATATGGGGGGTGGCTGACTACATACTCACAGCTAGCCCCCTCACATACTGCCCTGTGAGTCTCTTTGTTTCCTGGGCATGCTGGGAGGAAGTGAGGTCAGATTGCTTCCTCCCAGTAAGAACTGATCACTTCCTCCTCAGTGCCGTTGGGGAGGAGGCACACACCACATGGAGGAGGATGCAAGCATTGTGGGGGAGAGGGACTGAGAAAGCTGATGGCAGACTCCCATCAGCCTGGGCCAACAAGCTCCCACTGGACCCCAGGGAAGCCACCTTTCTGTACCCAAAAGGTAAGGAGACAGGAGGGTGGCTAAATATGCTTTGTTTTGTTTTTTGTTATGCTAATTTCTATCACTTTTATTTAAGTGTGTTGGTGTTTGTAATGTAACACACATGGAATAAGTACATGTTAAAAATCCTAGAAGAACCTGACAGTTCCCTATTAAATATAAATTTAAAAAGTATTTATTTTAACATATTGCATCAAGTGTTATCAAAGGCTGTACACCATTTTCAAATGTCACTTTTGACAAATTCTGGACCAGGGTATGTAAGAACAGAGTTGAGACATTATATTGGCCAAGGTTGCTGGGAGTTGCTGTCCAAGAGCTGCTAGAAGGCAGAGATTAAAATATGTAAATGTACACATATATATGTGTGTATCTGGCTGTGCTTATGTCCTTGTGTGTATCTGGCTGTGTTTGTCTGTGTGTCAGTGTTTCTGTGTGTATGTTTACCTCATACACCTGTATGTGCACCTGTGTGTGTGTTTCGGTGTGTGTGTAAGTGTGCATCTGAGTGTGTGGTAATGCATACATCCCAGCATTTTAATGCCAACACAAATACACTCCTACATTCCATCTCTACCACTGTACACATATACAGGGAGTGCAGAATTATTAGGCAAATGAGTATTTTGACCACATCATCCTCTTTATGCATGTTGTCTTACTCCAAGCTGTATAGGCTCGAAAGCCTACTACCAATTAAGCATATTAGGTGATGTGCATCTCTGTAATGAGAAGGGGTGTGGTCTAATGACATCAACACCCTATATCAGGTGTGAATAATTATTAGGCAACTTCCTTTCCTTTGGCAAAATGGGTCAAAAGAAGGACTTGACAGGCTCAGAAAAGTCAAAAATAGTGAGATATCTTGCAGAGGGATGCAGCACTCTAAAAATTGCAAAGCTTCTGAAGCGTGATCATCTAACAATCAAGCGTTTCATTCAAAATAGTCAACAGGGTCGCAAGAAGCGTGTGGAAAAACCAAGGCGCAAAATAACTGCCCATGAACTGAGAAAAGTCAAGCGTGCAGCTGCCACGATGCCACTTGCCACCAGTTTGGCCATATTTCAGAGCTGCAACATCACTGGAGTGCCCAAAGCACAAGGTGTGCAATACTCAGAGACATGGCCAAGGTAAGAAAGGCTGAAAGACGACCACCACTGAACAAGACACACAAGCTGAAACGCCAAGACTGGGCCAAGAAATATCTCAAGACTGATTTTTCTAAGGTTTTATGGACTGATGAAATGAGAGTAAGTCTTGATGGGCCAGATGGATGGGCCCGTGGCTGGATTGGTAAAGGGCAGAGAGCTCCAGTCCGACTCAGACGCCAG